CTGGGGAAGACAACAATCCTCCCTTTCTCATTCTTTTCCTTCCTGTGTGAGCATTCCATGGATGTCAACCCTGGATTCTGAAAGATTCTAAGAGTGAATTATCTTAGAACCGACAGATATAAGGAGACCTATAAATGTTAGGCTTAAAGTATAACGTAAAGATTTCAGTTTCAACGTGGCGACAACAATACCCTGAGACCCGCCGCCTTCCAAGAACACGGGTAAATCAATAAACGTCCTTCAACTAACCATAATAACATAAGCCAATGTAACTCCTGATGAAGCAGAGGATCCGAACGTGGTACATATATGTCAGAAAGGTGTTTAAGTGAGCACATCTCTAACGCCTGTGTGTGAGTGTGACGGTCATATGCCTAAGTATGTCATCAAAGGAGGTGACTCAGTCCATCCGTCAGTCAGTTAAATACAAGTTAAATATGAGTTTCTATCTGTTAGTGCGGGTTTACTCTATGATGTTATTAGACTTATATAAATATAATCACATTATCCAAGTGATATAACAGGTAGAGTGACGCTTATTATTGCTGCATCACCTCCAACAACAACTACCAGTCTACTACCCCTACCACCTCCAACCACAACATCCAGACACCACCACTACTACTACTACTACCAGTCTACTACCACCTCCAACCACCTCAACAACAACATCCAACTACCACCACTACTACAAGCTTACCATCACCACTAACCACAACAAACATACAAAAAAAAAACACCATAAAGCGAGAAGAGGCCAGCGAGCCAGCCACCACCATCAGCCTACCACAACTACCAAAACAAACACAGCTCCTTCACTTCCCTCCCTTTACCCCCACACCCCCGGCTTACGTCTCCACCAACCACTATAGCCACCTCCTTAATTAATGTACTCTGCCAGCAATATCAAGAGATTACAACGACAACTAAAAACAACATTAAAGTGAAATTAACTCTGCCTCCTAACCCAAGACCTGGCCGCTCCCTACAACACAGTTAATCCTCAGAAAGGTTCCCGATCGGACAAATGAAAATTTCAGATCTTGATGAGAATTTATACCCTAGGGTGAACCCCCGGGCTTTTTAATAAGATTTTGGAAAATTTGATTGGCTGAGGGAGGGAGGTTGGCGGATGTACGAGAGTTATTGGTTAGGTTGTCACTTCTTTTTTTTCCCCTTTTTTTTTCTTCATCTTTCTCTTTCTCTCAGCGTCTTAGAGGAGGAGGGCGATGAGGAGGTGGTGTTGGGTTGTTGTGAGGCACTTGATGTGATTTTCTTCTTTTCAAGTGAGAGATAAACATTTCAAAATGAAGAAAATGTTCGTTTGTTTTTATTTTCTAACAATGTTTATGGCTCATACTTATCTTAGTCTAGTAATAATGATATATAATTTAGTTTATTGCCTTTCCACCACTTTATCTTCTTATCTCACCTCATTATCATCATCATTATTATTATTATAATATTCTATAAATCAGCCTTGGTGCCCAGTAAGAGACAATGCGGATATAGCACACTGCATACTAAGCCGGCCTTGCACTCGATTACCTTTTGCTTCCCCATCCATAAAGAGAGGTACTCATTCACAGCTGGATGGACTGTAGGGTCGGAGAAGAGGAATCGAACTAGCGACCCTCAGGACAACAGGTGAGCACTGTATCCACTCAGCTACCGCACCCTTTTAGACCCATCAGTCAGAGGTTTGGCCATTCAGAATGTTGATCACTCAGAAATTTGGTCACTCAGAGGTTTGGGCACTCAGAATGTTGGTCACTCAGAGGTTTGGTCACCCCGAATGTTGGTCACTCGAAAAGATGACTACTCAGAATGATGGGCTCTGGGAATACTTTTCATTGCATCCAACCATTCTTACGAGTGACCATCATGTTGAGTGACCACCCTACTGAGTGACCATTATTATTATTATCATTATCATTATTATTATTATTATTATTATTCCTATTATTATTATTATTATTATTACTGTAAATATTACCATAAGAATAAATAAATGTCTAAACGATTTTCATGAGAATTCAAAAAAAAAAAAATCCTCAAGGAAAAGTATTTTACAAGGGCGGAAGTTGACGAAAGAAAAGGGTCGATGAAGACAAGACAAAGTGAATAGGAAACTCAGGAAAGGGCAGGAATTAATAATGACTTTGTATCAGAAACTACAAAACAGTGTCTTCATTTTTGCCTCAAAGTGACAGATGAGTGTAAATAATAGACGATGTGGCTGACGAAGAATAACATAGAAGAAGAGAGGAGAGGGAGAGGGTAGTAAGTGTAGTGGATAAAGAGGAATAAGAAATGGGGGAAAAAAAGCCGAAGGATGTATGAAAAGGGAAAGGAAACAGATGGGAAATAAGTAGGGAGAGAGAGAGAGAGAGAGAGAGAGAGAGAGAGAGAGAGAGAGAGAGAGAGAGAGAGAGAGAGAGAGAGAGAGAGAGAGAGAGAGAAAGTAGTTATCAGGTAATGATGGTAATTAAAAATAATGTTGAGTTTCCTATCCTATCCTATCCTAACCAAACCTAACCTAACCTAATAACTAATCATTTAAGGCAGCAAGGAAAAATACTGGGTAAAAATAAATAAATAAATAAATAAAAACACAAGATAAAAGGTGAAGTGGCAACTGGTGGTAAAGTCATAAGCCTGACCGACCGTAAGTAATTGTACTTTCTTAATTTTATACTTTTTGATTGTTTTTGTAATTATTTTTCTAGTTATTTTTAATCTATTTTCATTATTCTCATTTAATGTTCTTAATCACTTTTTTATTTACTTATTTGTTTAGTTACCTGTTAATTTTTTTAATTATTTATTAAATTTCTTAATTGCCAGCTTAATGATTTTCCTAATTTCTTGGGTAATTAATTGGTCGCTTCCCAATAACAAAATTGCTGAATAATAATAATAATAATAATAATAATAATAATAATAATAATAATAATAATAATAATCTTAATTTTCATCATATTATCAAACACCAAAAAATACTAATTATAATAATATTACTGACAATACTTTTATATTAATTTTGAGATGTTCTATATATTTATCGTACGTTAATTGATTTTTCTGCATCATTTAGTTCGATTATATTTGTACCTTAAGGGGGGGGGGGTCAAGTAAAGGTGTTTTATTCTCAGTATGTCGTAAGTATGATAGAGATCTCGATAAAGTCAAATTTATTATCATTTTCATTTTACTGAGAGGTGAGGAAACTGGACATAACCTCAGCTCCATATTTTCCCTCAAATATCCTGCCCACAAAAACCAATCACAGCCGCTGCAAGCTGCCGCGGCCCCAGGCGTTTCCAAGATCGGTTAAACCAAAAAACACAGACATCGATCCAGACCTACCGCCTCGAACCACAGACCCCGCGATTCGAACCACAGACAAACCGAATCACCGCCGCAGCTTGTACCGCCGGGAGGGGAGGGAGGGTGTATACAAAAAAAGGCGAAGCAAAGGTGAGAGGTTCTGGTTTAACCTTTGGGGAGGTTTTAAAGAGGCGACGACAGCCGCTGGTTTAGTGGTTTTGTCATTTATTTTATTGAGGTCGGTGTTGAGTTGATCTTTTTTTGTTTGTACTGTGGTGTGAGTTGCGGTCAAGTGTCGCGGCCACAGGTGAGACGGGCTGATTGTTATGGTGTTAGCAGGTAGGTAGGTACGCTGTGCTGCCTCTTTGGGTGGGGTGGATAGGAGGCCGACAGGGTGCTAATTGTACGTAGGTGTGGGAGTAAACTGTCTAGGGTTTAAACCAAGACTACAGTGATAGGTTTTCTTAATGATCCTGGCTGTTAGGGCACCTACTGCACGTAGAGGCAGTATTACCCTTTAAAGTTTGAAATTATATCGTTGTTCAGAGGAAGGTGTTAATGTACAGACAGACAGACAGAGAGGTATAAACACAACCCCGCACACAAACACACAGTCATCTCCCGGTCACAAAAGCGGCTATACCAGCACCCCAAACCTTGAAATAAAAGGGAGGTCCCCAGCCATTAATGTCCAACCTCACACTCGACCATCAAAAGGCGGAGGTCACCGTCAATATTTGACCAAGGGAGACCGCAACTTGGAGCCACAACCAATAAAACAGCTCGGCCCCGTAAAAGCCAATAATAACCTTTTAATATAAAAAAAAAGAATATACTGTAGACAATGATTAAGACCGTTTGAGAGCTGCGGTCCTCTCTCTCTCTCTCTCTCTCTCTCTCTCTCTCTCTCTCTCTCTCTCTCTCTCTGGCTTTTTTCCCTTCACGCTCTGCATTTTTTGGACGTTTTTATTGTTTCAAGTCTTTATCCTCTCTTTCTTTTTGTTTTATTGACTTGTGTTCTGTTAATAATTGAAGTTTTCTGATTACTATTTCGCTTCCTTTTCTTAGCCCATAGCCAAGCACAGATACAGACAAACAAAAACACATACAGTTAAAAGGACAATCACAGGTACACTCAAAGGTGTATTAAGAGATAGAAATATAATTACCCCGCTACAGAGATTTCAGTAAAGGGTTAATATTCGCGACCACGTCATAGATGGAAGAGGCTGTACCTGTTAAGTTCATTCTAGCTCAGAAAATGATGTTTTATAAGACACTGCTGCTGCCCGGGCAAGTATTGGAAACCATTTTAGGGCCATAGGCATCGGGGTAGAATTTTATTATTATTATTATTATTTTACTTTTTTTTATTTATTTTTATTTTATAATGGATCGTCTGTGGTATTTCTTAAGCCGGGTTGAAGATGATGATTTTCGAGAAAGAGACACACACACACACACAGGTTCCCGCAATGTGTGATTGTGTATCGGCCTTATGTCTTAAAAGGGATGATAAATATATAATATCAAAAGAAAAAGAAGTGACGATAAAAGATGATAGATAATAATAGGTAATAAGAAGTGATAGAGAGAAATATAAAATGATGATGACGATATTAGAAGAAGAAGAAGAAGAAGAAGAAGAAGAAGAAGAAAGAAAGAAAGAAGCAGAAGCAGAAGCAGAAGCAGAAGAGAAGAAGAAGAAGAAGCAGAAGAAGAAGAAGAAGAAGAAGAAGAAGAAGAAGAAGAAGAAGAAGAAGAAGAAGAAGAAGAAGAAGAAGAAGAAGAAGAAGAAGAAGAAGAAGATAAAGAAGAAGAAGAAAAGGAAGAAGAAGAAGAAGAAGAAGAAGAAGAAGAAGAAGAAGAAGAAGAAGAAGAAGGAAGAAGAAGAAGAAGAAGAAGAAGAAGAAGAAGAAGAAGAAGAAGAAGAAGAAGAAGAAGAAGAAGAAGAAGAAGAAGAAGAAGAAGAAGAAGAAGAAGAAGAAGAAGAAGAAGAAGAAGAAGAAGAAGAAGAAGAAGAAGAAGAAGAAGAAAGAAGAAGAAGAAGAAGAAGAAGAAGAAGAAGAAGAAGAAGAAGAAGAAGAAGAAGAAGAAGAAGAAGAAGAAGAAGAAGAAGAAGAAGAAGAAGAAGAAGAAGAAGAAGAAGAAGAAGAAGAAGAAGAAGAAGAAGAAGAAGAAGAAGAAGAAGAAGAAGAAGAAGAAGAAGAAGAAGAAGAAGAAGAAGAAGAAGAAGAAGAAGAAGAAGAAGAAGAAGAAGAAGAAGAAGAAGAAGAAGAAGAAGAAGAAGAAGAAGAAGAAGAAGAAGAAGAAGAAGAAGAAGAAGAAGAAGAAGAAGAAGAAGAAGAAGAAGATGAGAGGATAAGCAATAAAGCGTGGTAACCCAGAGAGAAGGAAGATAATACGATATGCACTTATCTACCAGAACTCTTCAGGAGAAATTTATTCACTAGCGAATGACTCTCGTTGTGCACACTACCACCACCGGTTATGAGGCAACATATCTCCTTACAATTTCATTTCTTTCATCACTCAATTTCTAACCACCTGGCTGTATGATTATTTCAGGGAGAAACAAGGTCTCAAGAGAGAAATAAAACACAAGATGGTAGCCGCTGGTAGGCACAAGGGACAGTAGACATGGCAGGGAATAGAAGCGGACATTCCGAAATGCGAGAAATCACTCAAAATCGTCGGATGCACACAGCCTGAGCGATCGTTTTCCTTGGCGTCTGATGACTGTTCTTGCCTCCTCATTAACTACAAACAAATGTCTCTTATATCTCATCCCTCGTGTAAAATAATTCAAAATATTACAGAATTATCGAAAATATTCATGAAAGGAGACAAGAGAATTATGAGAACTGTGAGAAATATTGAAGCGGTGAAGATATTATAAACAAGATCGAAGCTCCACGACACAGCACCAAAATCCTGCGTTCGAATGCGCGCCTCCGCCAGCCCCTCGGTGTTTTGCGTTGCGTGGGTGGATATTTAGTCGCTTTTCGTATCGATTTCTCTCGTCTCATACGTCGCCCGGGGAATTTTCACCCATTTTACTAATCTGCTGTGTTCTATCCTCCCCCTAGGCCTGCCGGTGTACGATTCCCTACACCGCAACCCTGACTTCAGCTTCGAATGAGCTCCAGTACTTTACAGTCGCTCGCATGACCTGAATTATGCATAGCCGGGTAACTACACCTTTGCTATCCAGATCTATTATGATATCCCAGAAGACAACTGGTTATGGAGGATACACGAAAAGATAACCAAGGATCGCTGGACACTGACCCAAAGATGTCTAGGGTGAGGCTCGAGACATTTTGAACTATCTGCCAGCCGCGTTCAATGACATAAAAGGGAATTTCTGTCCCCCTCCAAACCGGCCTAGAAATGATGAGTGTATGTCTGTCCTCCCACTCCACCTCCTCCTCCTCCACTTCTCCCTTTCTAAATGTCCTTTCCCGGTTTCTTTTTTCTCTCCCTCCCTCCCTCTTCCTCTCCCTTCGGAAAAAATGAGTCATAAGTGCACTTTCTCTCAAAACCCGGGGATATGCCCTTTTCCGCCTGATTGCCTATCACTCTGTACAATTGTGGGGGGCGGGGAGTGGGGTCGGGCATGGGCTGAAGGAAGGGGGGTGGGGGGTAAGCTTGAGGCGTGGGTGGTGTTTTGAGGCGTGGGTGGAGGGGGGTGATGTTTTTGAAGCATAGGTGAAGGAAAGTGGATAAGGGCGGAAGTGGTGGAGGGGGTAAAGAAAGAAGCAGGTGGAGGGAAGAATAATGGAGACGATTGATGGAGAATGTGGAGTGGATGGCTGAGGCGGGGTAGGAGGGAATGGAGGGGCATGAGTAGAGGAAAGGGAGTGGTGGAGGGCGTGGGTAGAGAGGAGGTGGAAGGCGTGGGTAGAGAGGGGAGGGTGGAGGGGCATGAGAGGAAAGTGGTGGAGGGCGTGGTAGAGAGGGGAGGTGGAGGGCGTGGGGTGAGGAGTGGTGGAGGGCGTGGGTAGGGAGGGAGTGGGTGGAGGGCATGAGTAGAGGAAAGTGGGTGGAGGGCGTGGGTGAGAGGGAGTGGTGGAGGGCGTAGGTAGAGAGGGAGTGGTGGAGGCGTGGGTAGGGAGGGGAGTGGTGGAGGGCGTGGGTAGAGAGGGGAGTGGTGGAGGGCGTGGGTGCCGTAAGGAGAGTGATATCAAAGTTCCAACATTTCGCAAAAAAAAAAAATATAAATAAAAATAAAAATAAATACTTAGTTCTCAAGATAAACAAACAAAAAATTCAACGCTTCCTTCACACAAACAGAAAATACCGGGACACAATACACTGTACTGACACCATTGTACCAGTTGTACCTTTAACACAAGAACCAATCAGAATACGCTTCTCTATCACCACTACTTCACTACCTGTGTACCAATTGGTAGTTATATTTGTACCATCATCTCTGTATCACATCATTTTATACCAATGTATTTTTTTTTTGCCATTCAGATTGTACCATAATTATACCATCATCGTATGGAACAATCACCCGCCAGCACTCGGAAACCCACCCTCATGTACTCTTGTTCCATTTGCACCATCATTAAACTGGAATACTCAGAGAGATCAAACACACAATCAGACAACGTACCAATATACGATCATTACACGAAACCAATGGAACATCACCACTACATCACTATACAATATAATACAATAAACCCATGTAACAGATAAATACAACTTTGCCACATTGTTACCATTCCTACAAGACGAAAAAAAAAATGTCCACAATGTCACCAGTTTCACCATTGTACTGTCTAACCACCCCTATCACAAATGAGACTTAAGTTCCAGTGTCCCCATATTTTGTAGCCACCATCACACAGAAACAACAACAGCTAGATAGATAGCTACAACATTATACCATTGGAATCATCACACACTATTAAGATAAAAATACCCACTATCCCTACATGAATACTATCCACTGGCACCATTTTCACCACTATCCCAACCAATGACTGGCTTCTCTACTTTTTTTTTTTTACCTATCATCACACCGGTACAGCAATAATAGCCAGATAGAGAGATAGATGCATCATTGTACTGGGAGAGATGAACAACAAGTCCCCGGTGCGTCGTCTTCGGTCGTCTTAGGAGGAAAAATACTTCTCTACTGGATGGAACAGTTTTATGGATCATAATTCTTAGCAGAACTCCATTACCGCTGGACCTATAGTCGTCTGTGCCGGGCTTATCAGGGGAGTATGTGGGGAGGGGAAGTATGAGGGGGAGGAGAGGGGGAATGATGGAGGAGGGAGGAAGGGAAATGATGGGAGGAAGGGGAGGGGTAGGGAATCAGGGAGTGGGGAGGAGAGGAGGAGAGGAGAGGGATGACGGAGGAATGAGAGAGTGGGAAGAGAATGGGGAGTGGGTAGGAATGAAGGGAGGGGGAGAGGCAAAAAGGAGGAGGTTGGGAATGAGGGGGATGAGGAGGGGTGGAAATGGTGGGGGGGGTGGGGAGGAGGGGTATGGATGCTTTGGGAATATCGTCGTCACCCTTGAGTCACTTGTTGTACTACCAACCGCAGTACCACATCACATCTCTCTCTCTCTCTCTCTCTCTCTCTACTCTCTCTCTCTCTCTCCTTTCTTCTCACATTATCGCCTCCAACACAGCCCCTCCCACGTCCTCGGTCAACACAGTCCCTCCCACGTCCTCCGTCAACACAGCCCTCCCACGTCCTCCCGGTCAACACAGTCCCCTCCACGTCCTCCGTCAACACAGCCCTCCCACGTCCTCGGTCAACACAGTCCCTCCCACGTCCTCCGTCAACCACAGCCCCTCCCACGTCCTCGGTCAACAACACAGCCTCCCACGTCCTCCGTCCACACAGCCCCTCCCGTCCTCCGTCCTTTGATACCTCCGTCTCCGTCAACACAGTCCCCCCGTCCTCCGTCTCCTCGGGTCCTCACGTCCTCCGTCAGCTTTAGCCCCTCCCACGTCCTCCGTCAACACAGTCCCCCCCACGTCCTCCGTCCAGCTTCAGTCCCCCACGTCCTCCGTCCCCGTCCTTCCCTCCCACGTCCTCCGTCAACACACGTCCTCCGTCAACACAGTCCCCCCCCCTCCTCCGTCAACAGTCCCCCATCCTCGTCTCCTAATCCCCTCCACGTCCTCCGTCAGTCCACTCACAACACAGTCCCTCCGTCAACACAGTCCTCCCACGTCCTCCGTCCTTTACAATGTCCTTCCATCAACACAGTCCTCCGTCGCCCTCCCACGTCCTCCGTCAACACAGTCCTCCGTCAACACACCCCCCACGTCCTCCGTCAACACAGTCCCCCCAACTTTGGTCCCCCCACGTCCTCCGTCAACTCGTCCTCCGTCAACACAGTCCCTCCCACGTCCTCCGTCACACAGCCCCTCCCCCGTCCTCGGTCACGTCCACGTCCTCCGTCAACACAGTCCCTCCCGTCCTCGGTCGTCCCTCCCGTCCTCCGTCAACACAGTCCTCCGTCCTTTGGCCTCGTCCTCCGTCACGTCCTCCACCGTCCTCCGTCCAGCACAGTCCCTCACAGTCCCTCCCATCCTTCCACAGTCGTCCTCCTCCCGTCAACACAGTCCCTCCTCCTCATCCTTTAGCCCTCCCACGTCCTCCGTCAACACAGTCCTCAGTCCCTCCTCCGTCCTTTAGTCCCTCACGTCCTCCGTCAACACAGTCCCTCCCGTCCTCGGTCGCTTCAGTCCTCCAACACAGTCCCCCCCCTTTAAATCCCTCCGTCCTCGGTCGCTTTAACACAGTCCCTCCCGTCCTTTGGTCCTCCCCACGTCCTCCGTCCGCATCCTCCCGTCCTCCGTCAACTTGCGATCTCATCCTCCGTCCTTTAGTCCCCCCACGTCCTCCGTCAACACAGTCCCTCCATGTCTCCGTCCCACAGCACAGTCCCTCCACGTCCTCCGTCAGCACAGTCCCTCCCATTCCTCCGTCCTTTACAGTCCCCCACGTCCTCCGTCGCTTTGCGATCTCCGTCACCACAGTCCTCCCCTCCGTCAACCACAGTCCTCCCCACCCCTCCCGTCAACACAGTCCCTCCGTCAACACAGTCCTCCACGTCCTCCGTCAACACAGTCCCTCCCACGTCCTCCGTCAACAGTCCACTCCCACCCTCCGTCATCCCTCGTCCTCCGTCAACACATGTCCTCCGTCAACACAGTCCCTCCCACGTCCTCCGTCAACACAGTCCCTCCCCTCCGTCAGCCCCCCACGTCCTCCGTCAACACAGTCCCCAGTCCTCACGTCCTCCGTCAACACAGTCCTCCCACGTCCTCCGTCCTTTGGTCCTCCCACGTCCTCAAATCCTTTACCAGCCCTCCCACGTCCTCCGTCCTTGGTCCCTCCATCCTGGCCCTCCCCGTCCGTCCTCCGTCAACACCTCCACGTCCTCCGTAAACAGTCCTCCGTCACTCCCGTCCTTTTGGCCTCCCGTCCCCCACGTCCTCCGTCAGCACAGCCTCCCGTCCTCCGTCCACAGTCCCCCTTCCTCCGTCCTTTGGCCCCTCCCATCCTCCCATCCTCCGTCAACACAGTCCTCCTTAATGTCCTCGTCCTCCCACGTCCTCCGTCAACACAGTCCCTCTGTCCTCGGTCAACACAGTCCTCCCCACGTCCTCCGTCAACACAGTCCCTCCCACGTCCTCCGTCAACACAGCCTCCACGTCCTCCGTCAACACACCTCCCACGTCCCTCCGTCAACACAGTCCCTCCCATGTCCTCCGTCAACACAGTCCTCCGTCCTTTGGTCAACACAGCCCCCTCCGTCCCACGTCCTCCGTCCTCCGTCAACACAGTCCCTCCCACGTCCTCCGTCAACACAGTCCCCTCCCGTCCTCCGTCAACACAGCCCCCCACTGTCCGCCAACACAGTCCTCCTCCCACGTCCTCCGTCAACACAGTCCTCCCACGTCCCTCTCCGTCAACGTCCTCCCACGTCCTCGGTCAACACAGTCCCTCCCACGCCCTCCCTCCACCTCGGTCAACACAGTCCTCCGTCAACACAGTCCCCCTCCTCCGTCACGTCCTCCGTCAACACAGTCACAGTCCCTCCCACGTCCTCCGTCAACACAGTCCCCCCACGTCCCCACGTCCTCCGTCCCCGGTCGAACACGTCCTCCGTCAACACAGTCCTCCCACGTCCCACGTCCTCCCCACGTCAACACAGTCCCTCCCATCGCGTCCTCCGTCACCAGCCCCTCCTAATGTCCTCCGTCACCACAGTCCCTCCCATGTCCTCCGTCAACACAGTCCTCCCACGTCCTTTACGTCCTCCGTCAACACAGTCCCCCACGTCCCAACACAGTCCCTCCCACGTCCTCCGTCAACACAGTCCCTCCCACGTCCTCCGTCCGTCCTCCTCCGTCAACACAAACCCTCCCACGTCCTCCCACCAGTCCCTCCCACGTCCTCCGTCAACACAGTCCCTCCCACGTCCTCCGTCACCACAGTCCCACGTCCTCCTCCGTCCTCCCTCCCACGTCCTCCGTCAACACAGTCCCTCCCACGACCAGTCCCTCCCACGTCCTCCGTCAACACAGTCCCTCCCACGTCCCTCCGTCACGTCCTCCGTCCTTTAGTCCCTCCCACGTCCTCCGTCAACACAGTCCCTCCGTCAACAGCAGCCCCGTCAACACCACGTCCTCCGTCAAAACAGCCCCTTCCCTCCGTCAACACAGCCCCTCCCACGTCCTCCCACGTCCTCTGTCAACACAGCTCCCCTCCCACGTCCTCCTCCTCACAGTCCTCCCACGTCCCTCCGTCAACTCCTCCGTCAACACAGTCACGTCCTCACAGTCCCTCCCACGTCCTCCGTCAACACAGTCCCTCCCATGTCGTCCACCGTCCCTCCGTCACACACAGTCCCCTCCACGTCCTCGTCCCTCCGTCAACACAGCCCTCCCACGTCCTCCGTCAACACAGTCCTCCTCCCACGTCCTCCGTCAACACAGTCCCTCCCACGTCCTCCGTCACACAGTCCCTCCCACGTCAACACAGTCCCTCCCCACGTCCTCCGTCAACACAGTCCCTCCTTAATGTCCTCCGTCAACACAGTCCCTCCCACGTCCTCCGTCAACCAGTCCTCCACAACACAGTCCTCCACGTCCTCCTGGCCAACACAGTCCCTCCCACGTCCTCCGTCAACACAGCCCCCAAGTCCTCCTCAGTCAACACAGTCCTCCGTCAACACAGCCCCTCCCCACGTCCTCCGTCAACCAAGTCCCTCCCATGTCCTCCTCCGTCAACACAGTCCCTCCCAATGTCCTCCTCCGTCAACACAGTCCTCCCACGCCCCGTCAAAACAGCCCTCCCACGTCCTCCAACACAGCCCTCCCACGTCCCTCCGTCAACACAGCCCCTCCCACGTCCTCCGTCAACACAGTCCCTCCTCCCACGTCCCTCCGTCAACACAGTCCCTCCCACGTCCTCCGTCAACACAGTCCCTCCCATCCTCCGTCAACACAGTCCCTCCCACGTCCCGTCAACACAGCCCCTCCACGTCCTCCGTCAACACAGCCCCCCACGTCCTCCGTCAACATAGAAGCCCCACGTCCTCTCCGTCAACACAGTCCCTAGCCCCTCCGTCGTCCCTCCCACGTCCTTTAGCCCTCCCACGTCCTCCGTCAACACAGTCCCTCCCACGTCAAACACAGTCCTCCCGTCCTCCGTCAACACAGTCCCTCCCACGTCCTCCGTCAACACAGTCCTCCCACGTCCCTCCGTCAACACAGTCCCTCCCCACGTCCTCCGTCAACACAGTCCTCCCACGTCCCCCGTCACGTCCTCCGTCATCACAGCCCCTCCCACGTCCTCCGTCAACCAAGTCCCCCCACGTCCTCCGTCAACACAGCCCCCACGTCCTCCGTCAACACAGCCCCCCACGTCCCCCGTCAAAACAGCCCCTCCCACGTCCTCCGTCAACCAACTCCCTCCCCCCCCCACGTCCTCCTCCGTTTAGCCCTCCCACGTCCTCCGTCAACACAGCCCTCCCGTCCTCCGTCAACACAGCCCCTCCCACGTCCACGTCCTCCGTCAACACAGTCCTCCCACACGTCAACTCCGTCAACACAGTCCCTCCCGTCCATCAACACAGCCCCTCCCGTCCATCAACACAACCCTCCCACGTGATTCTGACAATGAAAATCCAGAGTTGATGACGATGACAAAACGATAATGACGAAATCGACGAGAACCACAACGACGATGATGGCGACACCGAGGGAACACACACACACACACACACCTCTCCCATCATCCCAGCCCAGGTCATTCCACGCTTTCCCCCCACCTCTTCCCCAACTCGTAGACCGCAAAAGACTTCATTCCGTCGTACACCATCATGCCAAACCTAACCCCTTCCCCACTACCCACCTAACTATTCGCCAAACTGCCTCCTGCATCCACAAACACCGCTTTAATACCCCGGGGCAGATTTTGAAGCAGCCTCTCGACGGTACTGAAGTCGGCTTGAACGAGGACCTTAACGCCGCCAGGTTCTCTGACCCCTCCAATGGCTCTACCCAGACACATATGGGGTCTCTCTCTCTCTCTCTCTCTCTCTCTCTCTCTCTCTCTCTCTCTCTCTTATTCCATAAATCCATCCATCTCTTCATCTCCTTCCATCTATCTGTCCATTCATCCTAACCTCCCTCCTTTCCTCCCTCCTTCATTCCATTTCGCCATCCCTCTCTTCTGCCATCCACCCCGCCCCAATTCCCTCCCATTTATTCATCCGACCATCCCACCCTACCTATCTTTTTCCCTTTCCTTCTTCCCACCCTACCTATTTTTCTCTCCCTTCATTCTTCCTTTCTTTCTCCAACCCAAACCTCATTCTCTAGCTTTCTCTTAACCTAAACCTCCCTTACCTTTCTCCATCTCCCTTTCTCCCTGTCATCTATTTTCACTGTACCTTGCGGGTCTTTATGGCGAGAGATGAATACAATGCTATACTACCTTGAGGAACACACCTGCGTCCCCATCTCTTGTATATGAGTGTAATAAACAAATTCACTCCGTCATCTGGCCCTCACCCCCTCACCTCTTCAAGAATAGATCCCTCACCGTGTCCCCATCCGAAGGCCGTCTCGCACTGTCTCTTACCATATAACGAGGATGTATCTTCCGTGTTCGTAGGTCCAGACGGTCTCCGTGTAGGTATCTTTTGCTGCCATATAGTGTCGACGTATAGTGCTGATTCACACGCATGAGAGCAGAATGTGTTACGTGATCATTCGTCTTGTAGTGTGTGTGTGTGTGTGTGTGTGTGTGTGTGTGTGTGTGTGTGTGTGTGTGTGTGTGTGTGTGTGTACTGACGAACTACCCGAGTTTATCTCTATCCACCACTGACATATTCAAAAGAAAACAAAATAAAGAAATATATACAAATTTTAAAAGTAGAAAAATTTTGTAGAAATTATCAAAAGTAGAAAGAAAAAATGTATAACGCCCTAGCATGAACATTTCTAAAAGCTCATAAGTCTACTACTTCTCACCCCGACTCTCCTGGGTTGAGAGAGAGTGAGGGAGAGAGGAGACGCCAGGTACGGAGAGGTAGGAGGTATAAGGAGTAAGGGGATGGGGAGAGGGGAGAGAAAGGGTTAGAAAAAGCAGGAGGAGAGAAGGGAGAGAGTTACCAGGAAGAAATAAGGGAAGTGGAAGGAGCAGGAGAGAAGAGGGGAGTGAAGTGGGGAATGAGGTATCGGAAGGTAGAAGGAGCAAGAAGGAAAGGAAGATTAGAGAGGATGGGAGAGAGGGGAGATAGAAACAGGAGTCAGGAGAGACAGAAGGAACAAGGGGGGGGGAAGAGAGAGGAGAGGTAGGAGGAGGAAGAGAGAGGAAAGACAGAAAAGGAAGCAAGAGGGGAAGGGAGAGGAGAGATAGAAGAAGGAGCATAAGGGAAAGAGAGAGGAGAGATAGGAGCAAGAGAGGATGGGAGAGGAGAGATAGAACGAGGAGCATAAGGGAAAGAGAGAGGAGAGATAGGAGCAAGAGAGGAAGGGAGAGGAGAGATAGAACGAGGAGCATAAGGGAAAGAGAGAGGAGAGATAGGAGCAAGAGAGGAAGGGAGAGGAGAGATAGAACGAGGAGCATAAGGGAAAGAGAGAGGAGAGATAGGAGCAAGAGAGGAAGGGAGAGAAGAGGCAGAAGAAGGAGCATAAGGGGAATGGAGGTTAGATGTGAGGGGTGGGAGAGGGGTGGGAGAGACGTACAGAGTGAAAATTAATTAGTATTGATCTGGAGGTAGAGGCGTAGAATGTCCACCACCACCTGTCTCCTCAGATCCATTTTTCACTAATTTAAGTGTGGCGGTGGTTATAGGTGGGCGGGGCTACTGCTAATTGGGCTACTTTGATGTATTGCTGATTAATATAGTGTTAGATCTTCTTGAGAAAGTGTTATTGTTATTGCTCCATGATAGACTAATGGTGTTTCTTGATAAATTCTCACTGGTCGTTGATAAACTGTTACTGCTCTTTGGTAAAATGTTACTGCCCCTTCATAAACTGTTACTGCTCCGTTATAAACTGTTACTGCTATATTATTAACTGTTACTGCTCCGTAATAAACTGTTACTGTTCCGTAATAAACTGTTATTGCTCCTCGATGGTGGTCTTGCTACAATGCTACACGAGACACCTTGCAAGATTGCGATAACTTTTTTTTTAGCTTCTGGCTGACCACAGGAAATCAAGTCCATATAAATTAATAGATCCATACCTAACCTAACCTGCTTTAGGTATAAATTGGCAATATATATATATATATATATATATATATATATATATATATATATATATATATATATATATATATATATATATATATATATATATAATCATACAAATCTTTTCCTCAATTTATCGGTGAGTGGGCAAGGACGAGTATACAAGAGAGGAACTCAGTCCTTCTCTCTGGCCGGAAATCGAACCACGAACCTATTGCTTGGAAAGTGAATGTTCTATATATATATATATATATATATATATATATATATATATATATATATATATATATATATAAACTGATGTCATGAACGAGAGAATAAAAATAAAGAGGGTGAATGCAATACACACACATGATGAAATAAACCATCTGAAAGAGAAAAAGATTGGGCAAAAGAGAGACGAAGACGAGAAAGCAAGGTAGAGAGTAAGACCAACATAGGCCTATGAACTTGAAGGCGTATAGGCTTATCTTTAAAAAGGATTGATAGGCTGGGATACCGTAAGGGCTTGGGGAGGACCGGCCTAGACGTGAACTCCGGATAAATAGTAGCTTTCTGGATTGAGTTTATTGAGCGTGGCCGGATTAGGTAACACGCAGTCAAACCCAGCCTAATGTGACCTGACTTGACCTGACCAAACCAAACCAAACCTAACATAACATAACTTTACCTTACGAAATCTAACTTAATCTAACCAAACTTAATCTTAGTTAAGCCGGACTACATGTACCTTGACTCAGATACTAAACCGAACATGTTTAAACCATTTTACAAGTAAATCAGTTGGGCACAGTTTAGTTAAGTTGGCATATTTTAAGATACATTAAGTTAAATACGGTTAGGGATGCGGTTTGGTTAAGTTATGTTAAGGTAGATTAGCAATATATACTTTACATTAGGTTAATTTTTATTATGTTGGGTTACGGGTATTAATAAATTAGTAATCGCATTAATAAATTACTAAATATAAGCGTCACTGTAATCAATATTATCATTAATAATATTTTTGTTCTTGTTATTATTATCATTATCATAATCGTTAGTATCATTGTATAATTATCCTTATCATTATTAAAATTATTATTACTATTATTATTATTTTTATTATTATCATCATTTATACTTCAACAACTCATAACATACGAACACCACAAAATGTCAGGTAGTTCCCGACTCATATTCTTCACAAACATCATCTCTGCTCATCACGGCAACTCTAAAAGGCGGAATTAGTAACATATCATCCCCGTGACGTTAATTCGCTACCACACCTGCAGGACAACCACAGCACCCGTTACACCACCCCTCAGGATCGACCAGGAAAACAAGGTGGGTCACAGGATTTGCCCTTGTCTCACCCCACTACGTAATGATTAAAACTTCCACGGGGTATAATTCTACCCAACTCACCTACTTGGTAATTTTAATTTGTTGATGTGTTCACTACTGTGGATTTTTATACACTATTGTCCAGTTGTAGTTCGTAAATCAAGAAAACATCTGTATTGAAGTTTATAACAGTTGATGTGAGGTTAACAGACAACTAACAGAAATTAGATAATCTTTCATGTTTTAGTAAAGCCTTTGCAAAACTTTTAGAGTGTTAGAAGGCATCAGCAATAAGGCTTTCTGTGTCTGGTCCAGGAGGGAAAATTTACAAAATATTTCCCATCCTCAAAATCTGTGGTTAAGGAAAGTTTTATTTTGTTTAGTTTCTCGTTTATAAAGTTATTACAAACATTAAATTGACTGTTGATAATAGGAACTCTTGTCTTCCATTTGTTATTCCTTATACTGTATCGGGAATCAATGAGCTCACAATTATACAGCTTAGCGAAAGGTTCCACCACGTGTTTCGGACGAAGTGGTACGGTTCTGAGGGTCGAGTTGTTTGTGACGGTTTGAGCTTCTAAACGATCGTTTCTGTATTAACTACTGGGATATGGGTGAAATAAGGTCAAGCGAGAATCACCTTTCATCTAGTGTGACATGGGAGTCGTTTTCCTTCCCCGCTATGGTTGTATTGTTACGAGACGTGAATAATTTCTAGCGGTGGGGAAGATAGTTTTTATTCTATCGTCTACAACTACCGTCTACAACTACTTTCCTACAGCATCAATTATTCTAAACATACTCAAAAGGCTAAATTCTTCCAGTACACAAATAATTAAAGTATTAAAACAAAAACATTTACTGAACGAAATTTCACAAAAAAAGGAAATACGCAGAAAAATAAATGCGAAATTATCACGCATCTGGCGAGTAAACAAGCGGCGGTTCCGCACAGTTGAGAGAAGCTGTTGGCCTTGTTTGACCTCGTACCACACACCAGCACCCATAACAACCCCATACAACAACTCACAACCCCATTAAAACTAACCACACGATAAACAATGACCAGCCATCTATTACAACCCTCGACTATAACCTTAAAAGTGAAGTTACAGGTGGAGGTGACAATAGGTTTCAGAATAGGGAGGTTATGCAGATCTAAGCTTCCCCCTTTTGCGCGTGGGTGGGTAGTAGAATAAGGGAGGGGAAAGGGAGGGGGAGGTAGCCGCGCCTCTTATACATTATTACACAGGGTTACCATCCCCTCCCTCCCCCTCTCTCTCTCTCTCTCCTTGTTTTGTTTCAGTCTCCGCCTCCCTCCCTGACGACTAGCGGGGTGAAGAGTTGTGGTTTTGTGTCATTTACCCCACACGAGGAGTAAGCTAATGATTAAAACATTTCATATTCGGCCCTACGTGTGTGTGTGTGTGTGTGTGTGTGTGTGTCCAGTGAAGAATTTAAACATCTGTATATGCTGGAGACTTAACACTGAATGTTCTATATAATATTCCATACTGCCTAACCCATGGAGACTAACCCCAGACTACCCCATGCTGCTGCTGCTGTATGGGATAGGTGGTACGCCTATCCCATACAGATGCTGTAATTTGGTTCGGAAATCAATATCACTCAAATGGGAAATATGATGATGTTTGTGATGATCGAGGGAGGTGCAGGGAGGAGAGGGTGAAAGGGGAATTGATAGATGGTGGAAGGTAGTTGGAAGGGGGATGAAAAGTGGGTTTCAAAGATAGGGTGGAAGGGGTGTTTGGAAAGGGGTACGGTGAAAGGGGAGGTGGAAAAGGGATTGAAAGGAGGTGTAGTTCGGGGAGGGAGGGGAGGGGTGTGTTGGAGAGGGGTGATCCCCATCCTACCTACGGCTGCTGGTGGTGCTTTCTGAAGTGATGAAGAGAGAGGAAGGAAGGAAGGAATAGGAATGATAGAAGGAGAGTAGGTGTAGGAGTGAATAAAACATGCATGGGAAAAATTAAGATAATTATGGAAGATAATGAGGCTTACGGAAAGAAGTAATGAATAATATTACTAACAACGGCAGCAACAGAAGCAATATGACCAACAACGGCAGCAACAGAAGCATTATTACCAAAAACGGCAGGAACAGAAACACTATTACCAACAACCGGAACAGCAACAGAAGCACTATTACCAACAACGGCAGCAACAGAAGCACTATTACCAACAACGACAGCAACAGAAGAATTATTACCAAAAACGACAGGAACAGAAGCATTATTACCAACAACGGGAACAGCAACAGAAGCACTATTACCAACAACGACAGCAACAGAAGCATTATTACCAAAAACGGGAACAGCAACAGAAGCACTATTACCAACAACGGCAGCAAGAGAAGCACTATTACCAACAACGGCAGCAAGAGAAGCACTATTACCAACAACGGCAGCAAGAGAAGCACTATTACCAACAACAGCAGCAAGAGAAGCACTATTACCAACAACAGCAGCAAGAGAAGCACTATTACCAACAACGGCAGCAACAGAAGCACTATTACCAACAACGGCAGCAACAGAAGCACTATTACCAACAACGGCAGCAACAGAAGCAAGAGATGAGATAGGGAGCGTCTTCTTGGATCTGGCAATGGCGGTGAGTCTGACTATATTTTTGTCGTTGATGGTGGAGGTCAACCTGGCTCTCCTACCTCTTTACCTCTCACTCACCTCACAACCTCTCTACCTCCCACTCCTTCACCGGGATTGAGTTACTTTAATGATGATAATAGTAGTGATGAATAATAATAATAATAATAATAATAATAATAATAATAATAATAATAATAATAATAATAATAATAATAATAATAAATCCTATGAAATTAGCTAGGAAAATAACAAAAATCCAGGAAATCAACTAAAGCCTATGAAATTAACTAAAGCCTAGGCAATTAACTAAAGCTTAGGAAATTATCTAAAGCCTAGGAAATTAACTAAAACCTAGGAAATTACCTAAGGCCTAGGAAATTATCTAAAGCCTAGGAAATTAACTAAAACCTAGGAAATTACCTAAGGCCTAAGAAATTAACTAAGGCCCAGGAAATTATCTAAAGCCTAGGAAATTAATCTAAATTCCAGGAAATTAACTAAAGCCCAGGAAATTAAATAAAGTTCTGGTAATTATCTAAAGCCTAGGAAATTAACCAAATCCCAGGAAATTAACTAAAGTTCAGGAAATTAACTAAAGCTTAGTAAATTAAATAAAGCCTAGAAATTAACTAAAATTCAGGAAAATTAGCCACATGTACCGATAGCTTTAAGAGATCTTACTTCACCTGTTAAGTAAAGAAGGTATGGATATCTGGTTTGAGTTTTTCTTCACCAACTTGAAGAAAAAAAAATCTGTCAGCAAAAAAAGAAACGAACGGCTTATGTCAGTCTTTATTATGCTGACTAAGTAAAAAAAAATATCTGTCAAATAAAGAAGAAAAATTTGTCTTCTGTTAGTTCTTTGTTCATTTACATATCTGCCTTTGAGTAAGATGTCCCCAGTAGCTGATTTATTTTTATTATGTTTACAATATACACAGCAGACTGTATACACCCCAGACTGTGGAGCATCCCCCAACACGACTCCATATAGACTGCGGTACTGTTCCTGTCGACGTCAGGCTAACATATATGTCAATAAAACAAAGTACTGATGAATTAGACTCATACGACCCCGTGTGACAGTATCTTCATGTGTTGTATGACTAACTCGAGAAAAATACTGTCTTCTACGTGTAGTGTTTAGTAATGAACAATAATAAAGACAGATACAATAAAAAATAGTAATTAAGATAACTACATTGAACGAAAAAGAAAGAGTATACATATATATATATATATATATATATATATATATATATATATATATATATATATATATATATATATATATATATATATATATATATATATATATATATATATATATATATATATATATAATCCCACTCCCCCTAAAGGCTCTTTCGAAAACTTTTCGTTCCCTCTCGCAGTAAGGAAAAAATCCAACATTTTTCTCTCACTAACATACAGCACCATATACTTCCTGAGCAGCACCATAATCTGGCTTCATTTCGTTCTTATCTACAATTCAGGCTGGGTGGGCGAGCTGGACCTTCATGAACTAATAACAGAGTCCCGTGGAGAGAGCCAGACAAGCCCCCCGACGCAGCCGCATATTGAAAACCAAATCCTTCCACCATTCAATTTCCCCATATTAAGGAATATTAATGCCGCAGGGGCGTATCCTGGCGCACCTGGTAGGAGGAATTCGATCCTTATACCTAGAAAGACCCACGGGTCATCCTGCCGTGACATCGGAATATTCTACGACGCAGAAAGTGAAGTAAGCTAATGTAAAAGGATGCAGGTTCAATACTCATCAAACATAGCGAATAATACTGTCAGGGATATGATTGGCTGTTATGAGATGCTACTGCGTTCCAGAGGCCCGTCGCTATGGTGTGTGTGTACCTCACGTCTGTCTCTGGTATTGATGGTCAGCGAGAGAGGCCGGAGAGGGAAAGAAAGCGAGAAGAACGTGGAAAGGAATGAAAGATTAAACTAAAGACACAAGATGATTGGAAGTAAGGGGAAATATAGACTAGTGAATAGGTAAATAAGTTGTTTAAATAGGATGATTGAGTATATGAATCAATGGAGTATGGAAAAATAAGTGGAGACTGGTATCATTGACCTGAGGAAACGAAAGAATGAATATATATGGTTCCCTAAACATAGAGAGAAGTCCACAGCACTCCCCTTCTCCCCACCTCTTGACTGCTTTGTGGAATTTCAAGGGGATCAGTAATAAAGACGTCTTAAGACCAACGGGAAAACCTAACAGGAGGCACGGTTTCTCTTATTAACTTTCCTTGGGTATATCGATCACTTCTCAGCAGACCTCGGCAACATCCCCCCGTTACACCTGGTCACAAGAACGGTACAGTGTTTCAATATTATCTTTATATAAACTAAGTCACCTTAACTTTCTATCAATTGTTAAAGGTAAGTGTAAATTAACCATCAATCCCTCATAACTTCAACTTTGGAATAAATTTACTGTAGCTGTATCAAATTGCTGTATTAGTGAGCAAAAGTACCATTACCATAACGCGGTTTTAAATAACTACTAGGGCGTCTGACTTCTGGGACCTAGGGAAATGTTCTAACAATTGCAACAACGCTGTGTTCCCAGGTGAGTTAGTAAGCAGTTTGATTTACCAGGGTACAAACACATGTGCAGGTGCTGTGCATGTTGATAAACACAAACTGTCCGTATACGCGGTGTAACAAACAAAAATAAATAAACACGGGATCTCGCGTAGAAAAAATATTTTTATATAGTTCACAGGTCATGTAAGCGGTGTGTGTGTGTGTGTGTGTGTGTGTGTGTGTGTGTGTGTGTGCCAAAATCTAACTATTTACTTCCTTTAAAAAACCTAAATAATAACTACATACATAAACGTGTACATAATAAGTAAAGTTATTTCTCTCAATCATTAGTACCTTCATTAACTTATATAACACACACACACACACACACACATACACACACACACACACACACACACACACACACACACACACGGCATAATAAAACACACTCACAGCGGGTCGAAATTCTTGAAGAAAAACAGGGAATAAAGGCAGAAGCATTATTGTGACTGAGACATACACGGACGTTTAATATTCCAGACAGATGAATAAAACAAAAACAGACGGATACAGATAACAGGAATACCAATGACTCCCTCCATATTGTTTGGTCATGTTTACAAAGACTAGCGGCTCCACGCCACAACAACATGATCACCAACACAGGATGTACCCGAGATTTTGGCAATATTTGTGTGTGTGTGTGTGTGTGTGTGTGTGTGTGTGTGTGTGTGTGTGTGTGTGTGTGATCAGAGAAATAGTCTTATTAGATTTTCCGTACTATGCATGTGATTCCTTAGTGACGTCATTCCTGATACTGTACATGTCAAAGCAAAGCAGCCTCGTTCAAATGATCTCTCTCTCTCTCTCTCTCTCTCTCTAACAAAACACCTTAACAGTCAAAAACCTTCAATATAACCAACAATTAGACAGAGTAAACGAAATACTCAATAAAGAGACTGGTGAGTGTTTATCATATCCACCTGGAGAAAGTTCCACACAATGGTTCGATAAGATCCAGATTTCGCTCTATACGGGACACTTCAGGTCGCCCACTCCAACACAGGTGCCATAGAAGGGGCGAGGTGGCGTTTAGGTATGGAGGGACGGTGTGGAATTAAGTGTGGAGGGGTGACGTAGCCTTTAAGTGTGTGGAGGGGCGATAACGCATTAAGAGCATGGCGGGGGTGACGTAATCATAGTTCTCAAAAACACTTCTAAAATTCTATGACAAAATTAATTAATACACTAAGGGCTCATTTGACCTATACATCCCGGGAAACCAATTGACACTACTTATACGAAACAATACAGAATCACACCATATAATCATTTGTTTTATGCAGTAGGTCGAATATACACTTCTCTCATGTTACTCGATGGTATAGCAGACGGATAAGTGACTTTATACAACATATACAGTATACTCAAGGCTCTGCAATCGACCCTAATCTTCTTAACTAGTTCCAGTAGACGCGTCCAGTTGTTAGTCTCTCATTACAACACATTTGGGGTGACGTGACGGCCCACCTTGTTCCCAGCGGCCACAGTGATGTCTTATCTTCCCAAACGAGTGACTTCAGCGAAACTCTGACGGGGAGTGAGAAGAGACAAGCAATGTTAGCCGGCTTCCTTGATCTTAAACAGCGACGTCATGAGGTCGCTCACATCCGCTTACGTTACGGTATCTCGTGTCCGGGTCCTCCTCCTCAGGTATAACTCCCGACGAAGGAAGAGCCCAGCTGCGCCCATCCGACCTAGAGTGTAATGGTGCGCTAGTGTTCAATATACAGATTCATGAATAATGATAACAGATATCACAGTGACACAAATAATTCCATTGCAGTGTCTAGGAGAATAACGATGAGAAAATTAGGTAAAAAATGTATAGCAGTCTGCATCATCTTTGTCCATTGCAGAGTGTGTAGTCGCAGACATCAGTTGCATAGAGAGGGAGAGATTTTTTATTATCTATGTATGATAAAAATATCTTGGCAATCACGACAAAATTCAATTAAAAATCACTAAATTACTCCTATACAAAAACAATAACACATATAGATTTCAAACTAGAAATAAAAATCACCAAAATTATACACACCAGAAATATAAGCTAACTTTACGTACAGGTTAATGAGAGAAATCACCTGAGTAACCCCACACACACACCTCAACTGTAACATAATATTAAAACACTATAACTAACCCATAGGAGAGTAGGCCTGTGCTAATAAATGGCTACCGTTTACCTGGCAGAAGCTGATACAGTTTAAGCATTGCCATTACTAATTATACGTAAATGAGATATTGATGGGAGAAAACTGCAAACAAAAATAAATAAACAAATAAAAAATATAATATAAACACTGGAAAAAAGGCGTCACCATATCCTCAGTTCACATTGTATAAACAAAAC